ATATATTTTATGCCTGTGTAATAGCAAATATTTTGTAAGACATTTTCATGAAGCATGAATTTACTTCTGAAAGTAGTAGCATTATTTCTTCTTTTGATGTTATCTCTTGGCATTTTCTGTTGAGAGTAGAGTCTACATTTCCTCTTTCTCCAAATGAGCTTGTCCCTGTGAGTATCATAGCTGTAATGCTACGTGATTTCTGAAGTTATAAGAGGTGATTCCGTTTCTGCCTGGTTTCCTTGTGGTACTCTCTTTTGGATCCCAGCCTCCATGCTGTGAGGAAGTCCAAGAAGCCAGATGAGGAGATAGGGATGACAGCAGTTCCATCTGGTCCCAGCTGATAGCCAGCCCCAAATAGTAGATGCATGGATGAACAAGTCTTCTAATGAGTTATTCTCAGTCCTTGAATCACCCTTAGCCTTTTTTCATCTTGAGCATCAATTGTCTTTGGTGTGCCCTTTCTGGCTGGAAGAATCTGAGCATCATATAATTATTATCATTTAATAACACCAAGATTTTGTTTTTAAATGAAGCAAAGGTAACTGAAATAGGTGATAGGAAAGAAAGAGAAGAAAACCTAAGATCTAGATCTCCTAAAAAATTAGAAAAGATTGGATACTGTAGAGAAGTGGCCTACTGCTTTCTGGGGTAGGAGGCACTGGCTTTGGCAGCATAGGTATGAAAAAGGTGGCCACATGGCTGAAGTACTGGAGTGGAAGAAATTCTCTCATCCTCAGCCATCTGATCATCTTTAAAAACCAACAGGGGAGCTGAACAAATGGAGTAGGATTTGCCAGATTTCCCTCCCTGGAAAAGAAAGTTTAAAAATTTTGCAGTTTGAATTGGTATTATGATTAGATAAATTAGATTAGAATTTATGTTGCTTTGATAACTTGAGTCATAACAGACATATGTCTTATTAGTTGATCTTTCTATTTTCTTTTTTTTCTGGTCCTAGGGCTTTAAACTCAGGGCCTGAATACTGCCCTTGAGGTTTTGTTTTTTTCCTCTTAAGGTTAGAGCTGTAATAGCTAGAATTACAGGTATGAGCCACCAGTGCCAGGCCAGTTGACTTTTTCTTTTTTTGTGCCAGTCCTGGAGCTTGAACTCAGAGCCTGGGTGCTATTCCTGAGGTTTTTTTTTCTTTCTCTCAAGGCTAGTGCTCTATTACTTGAGCCACAGCTCCACTACTAGCTTGTGGGTAATTAATTGGAGATAAGAGTGTCATGGACTTTATTGCCCAGGCTGGCTTTGAACTGCAATTCTCAGATCCCAGTCTCCTAAGTAGCTATGATTACAAGCATGAGGCACAGTGTCTGGCACCAGTTGATCATTTTTAAAAGACAACTTGACCTAATTTTATGCCCTCCCTGCACAAGAACCTTGATCTTTAAAAATTAAGCATAAGGTCCCCAAGCTCTGGTATATACATATAGTAGTATCTTAGAAATGTTACAAAAATGATAAATGTTTGAGTATGAATTGATCTATAGTGAGATCTACATCTAGAGTGTATCCACTCCTCACACAGTGCCACACTACTGTAAATTCTGAAACCCCGATCTTGTTCTTTATAACCAGTGAGCTGGTGACAGCCTTTAAACACTATTCCTACATTGATACTCACTTGTCTGATTTCTGTTTCCTTGTATGAGCCACTTTGGTTTTGGCTGTGCTATCTACCATGCTGAAATAACTTCCTTTTTGGATTCACAAAGTCCTGGTGAATTTATTCATGGTGTTCTTATTCATGGATAGTTTCAGACTGAATGCAAGAAATCAATTGATTCCTACAGAGGCCTGTTTCCCTTTAACATGTCAATCACAGACTACTTGCTCTACCTGTTAACAAATAGAGGAATTGTTTTATAACTCTCTGGCCTAACCTTAGCACACTGTGTGGCAGTGATGACTTCTTTCCCACCCGTGGCCTGCCTCCCTCTTTTCCCACAACCTCAATCCAGGGAGCAGCATTTTCTACAAGCAGCAGAAGAATTGTAAAATTCATTTGGAGAACAATGTCTTCCAGCTTACAGAGTAGGCTGAAATGCATCTTCTGTTTTGTGCTTCTTTTATACACTTCCTGTACCATACAATTAAACACTCTCCCAGGGACCAGAAGACCCAGAAAATTCTGTGTAATCACTTCATGCCCAATGTCTTGGGGACCACATTTGCAGAATGCAGAACACGATAACTCCCTGTGGTTAGAATAACAGCTGTTCTCTGTGGTAAAGCATGCAACACAAAATGAAATAGTCACGAAATTCTCAGGAGTTGTGGTAGAAAGGAAGAATGTTATAGATGTTAATTTGCCCACATTCACATAATTTGTATGCTGAAAAGTCCAGTTTGGGCTCAAGTTCATGTTTTCAAATTTTTCTTTGTTGTACATATTTGTATTATACTTTATCCTCAAGGAGGATGGGTAAGAGCTAAATGCCTTTCTTAGTATGTTAAAAGCTGAAGATGAGAATTTGCCTGGCTGTTGGTGTAATCTATAGAAAATCAGCCACTGGGGGGGGGGGGAAAGAAAACCAGCCACTGGTTATCAGACCCTTGTCTGCTTTTTCATCCTTTATCAGCACTCTTTATAAGCAAACTGTCATTTTTAAAAAAAACTATAACATATTCCTAATACTATTTTATTGACAGGGTGGACCTCAAGTAGGCTGATAATCTAATCTTCCTGTTTGAGACAGAGAGAGAGAAAGCACAAGGATATATTAGATTTATCAAAATGTGTTTCTTGGACCAGCATCATCAGTATTATGCAGAAACTTGTTAGAAAGACAAATTGCCTCAGATTACCAAATCAGAAATTGTGGTTGAGGTAGTTTACCAACTGCTGTATTTGATCCTGATACACACTAAAATTTGCAGGCTATTACCAGAATCAAGATTCTCAGAAAGCTATTTTGTTCAAAATTTAGCAAGTGGCTGTCAATGAGATTCTTTTATTATATTCCCAAAGCATCTACTGCATGTAAAGGACTATGTTAACTACTATAGGCAATGAAAATATGAATAAAATATGGCTCTAATCTATGAGCTTATCTAGAGTGAATGAACTGATCACATTTGATTTGACAATAAAGATGAAAGTAACAGTATTTTCCTGGTGGTTTTGTGTAATATCTCCTCACAAAATGAAAAATGTGAGCTAAACTTGTTATTGTATTATCTGTATTAAATGACATTCTTCTCTTTTCAGAGACAAAAGAATGTAGAATATTCCTGAGAACTCAAGTTTAAACCATAACATTCAACTGTTCAGTGACCAAAATAGAATGCACAGCCTTGTACTTCCTTGACATTGTTTCCACTTTATGAATTAGTCCCAGCCCCAGGAACATGAGCCTAAGCAGGGTCACAAAATCATCTTCCATCTGCTCAGTAGTAAAACAGATTTTCAATAGACTGTCCCTTCTATTTCACTTTTATTAAAAGAATTGCTAAGGTACTGAGATGCCAGTACATCATATTTATTACCAAAATTATTAACAAATATACAAAACTTATACATGTAATTTTCTTACATCCATTCTCTATAATTCTGATTTTTGTTCAAGTAGGTATCTACAGTATGTAAACATCCCTTGGATTGACCTCACACAGATTAGGAAAGCCCTCTAACCCATGCTTTTATCAGATACTTCTTTTTATTTGGCTTCCATTTGTAGCATCTAATCTCCACATTTGGCACATGGAAGAAACATCTACAGTGCAAAAGAGGCAGATTTTTCAGGTTTCATTCTGAACACTTTTGCAGGGGCCGAATAAAGAGCTGAGAGAATAGAAGCATTCTAACTCAATGGCACCAGATTATCTGTTGTGCCAACAACTCTTGGTTCAGCTATTAAACTTGAGCACAAAATCAACATCTCTTCCTTTCCCCACCCTCCCACCTATCCCCCATGCAAGGCTGATTCAGTCTTCACCTTGTCTCAAAGGGTTAAAAGAAATTTCATCTATCCCAGAAGTAGGTTAATTTCACTGAGGAACAAATTTTCAGTGTTCTTTTGTGTGGGTAGGTGTCTGTGTGGTTTGATGATCCAGTAGAACTCTTAAACAAATGGAAAATTAGATTAAAAGAAAAAAAAAAGAAAGAAAACCTAAACACCAAAGCCAACCAACAACGTTAAAAAAAGCAGGAATAAGTTGAACTTTCCAGTTGTGTTCACTTCTTATCTCAGTATCTAAGATCAGAACCTTCGTGTAGTGACAAAGTGGTTTAAAAAAACAAAAAGACAAGACAGAAGGTCGACTAACACCTTGAATTTCCTAAAAAAAAAAAAAAGCTTTCCTCTGACACCTTGAATTACTAAAAAGAAAAAAAGAGAAAACTTTTCACCTAATGCCTTTAATTCCTAAAGAAAAAGAACCCCAAAACCTTTTACCTAATTCCTTGAATTCTTCAAAAAGAATAAAAAAGCAAAAGTCAAAGCAACCCCCAAAAGAAAAAGCAACACCTTGAATTCCTAAGAAAAAGACAACAAAAAAGACAAAGCTCTCACCTAACACCTCGAAGTCCTAAAGAAAAATAAAAAGGAAAAGAAAAGCTTTTGTCTAATTACCTTGATTAAAAAAGAAACACCTAAAACAAAAAGTAAAAAAGAAATTAAACAAAAAACCCCTTGAATTCCTGAAGAAAAAGAAAAAGGAAAAAGAAAAACCCTCTGCTTAACACCTTTAAAACAACACACAGGAAAAAAAGAGAAAAAACACAAAAAAGAAAATGCCTAATACCTTGAATTCCAAACCTATGGACACAATGTCAGAAGAAGGAAAGGAGCAGAAAACACCAAGAAAGAGCACGTGGGGTGTCTTTCTTCCTCTTCCCGGTTTTCCTTGGATTCTTTAACTTCTTATAGCCAAGTAAAGCTGATCTGGAGAGCGAGGGAGAGCGAGCCCATCCTCATTCCGGCCTCGCCCTCCATCGCCATCTCTCCAGCGATTGGCCGCGCCTCATCCTCCCCGCCCACCGTCGCTCCATCCACCGCGCATGCGCGAAGCTCCCGTCACCACACGGGCGCTGGCCCCTCCGACGCCCCGTAGAGCTCCGCTAGCTTCCGGAAGCGAGGCCCCCAGTCCGTGAGGAAGTCAAAGCTCTGCTCTGAGTCCGAGGCGGCCGACTGCAGTGAGCTCAGCGAGCCGGCCTCAGAGCCGTCGCCCTCGAACGTGTAGGTCTGCAGGGAGTCGAAGGGCGGCGCCCACAGGTCCGCGTCGGCCTCGTAGAGCTTGGCCAGCACGAAGCCGTGCACCGAGCTGCCCACGGCGCAGGCCTGCGGCACGCGGCGACACAGGCTCTGGATCTCGGGCAGCATGTCCTGCCGCGCGTCCGGCCGCGCCTGCGCCTCGCGCGGCTTCCACAGGGCGGCGATGTCGAAGGCCTCGGTGTCCTCCTCGCCCCCGCCCTCGTCGTCGTAGCGCACCACGTTCTCATGGATGTTCTCCTCGTCGTCCAGCACGTACGGCCGCTTCCGGTGCCGCCTGGTGGACAGGAAGAACAGCACCAGCACTGCGGGGACACGGAGCGGAAGGACTGGTGAGGCCAGGCTCAGTGTGGGTGAGTGAGCTTATGCGCATGCGTGCCAACGGGTACTGTGCGTGCTACGTGTGCGTGCCTGAATGGATGCTATCAACAGATACCAGGCGGGACTGTGTGTGCTTGCAGGCTGTCACTACCGGTACTGGTCTTGAATTCAGGGCCTGGGCCCGACCCTGAGCATTTTTCACTGAAGGCTAGACCTCTGCCACTTGAAGCTTCACTTCTGGTTTTTTGCTGGCTTGTTGGAGCTAACAGTCTCATGGACTTTCAAGCTACACCATGGTTCTCAGATTTCAGCCTCGTGAGTAGCTCGGCTTACAGGCTTGAACCACTGGCTCCAAGTTTACAAATACGGTCACTTAACCAGAAGCATTGGTCAAGAACACGTGGTAGTTAACTGAACTACCTCTATTCTCAATCAGCCATGTTAGATTGAGAGCTTGCAAGTGAAATTGCCTGTTGGCTCAGCATATAGTCTTTTTACATTATTGTGTGTGTTTGTGGGCACACATGTGCCAACTAAGTGCAAAAACTACAGCCTGATATTTAGTAAGGCAAGCTAAGGATCAGATCATGTACGGTTTATATAACGAATGCACATTTCTTTTATTACAATGTGAAAAATCTTATTATGTGGGTGGAATCTACTTTCTTACATTAGCATTTTAATGGGATTCTACTCTATAAATACAATCATATATTAATGAATATACATATAGACACCTCAAGTATAATCGCTGCCTTTTTATATCTCCTCCAAAATATAAGAGCACAAATGAACACTGTGCTTCTATAATAATCTAAGATCTGTCACAAAATCCTTTCAATAGAAAGATGGTTATAGCTTTTTTGTGTGTGTATGTGTGGAAAGGAGAGAACAAGCAATGACATTTTATATAACTCATTGTGTTATCAAAGAAGCACCACACTGATGTGCCCTTGTAGGTTTGGGTAAAATTTTTCCCAACAAATGCTTTTTTTCCCCCCCAGGATATGTTCATTGGGGTTTAAAGGAGAGGTAGAGACAATCCCATTGAGCTGTTTATCTCTGTGACTGAAAACATTTTCCAGGAAGTGTGTTGAAGCTTTAGTTGCTATTGATTTTTTTTTCTTCTGTTGTGCTTTGTCACAGCTGGTGAACTGTGACAGTTTGACAATAGTGGGGCATAAGACCCCAGCCTATCCAAGAGGTAGGCGTTGGAAATGGAGTACAGATGTGTAGTAAGAGATTGTAGACTGACCAGTAAAAAAACAATGATTTTTAAAGTATTTTAATATAGGATGAGGCTTTTGTATAAATTACAGTTATCTAGGTTAATACTATTTCCATGAGTAGCTTTGATTACAAAATACACACATCATAAACTCATGTACATTTTCTTTGTAAAAATGTGAGGCATGGAATTAGAATTGAGATTTCAGGAGAAGAGACTAAGAAGACTCCAAGGAAATGGGGCTTGTACTAGTGTTGAACGTTGAATAGTAATTTGGATTAAAGGTGAGATAGATAAATGGAATTCTAAGTAAATATGCTGTATTTGTAGGATTCAATAAACAGTTATTAAACTGAAATTTTCTGGTCCTCTCTGATAAGCAATAGGGAAACAACAGTGATTACTTCAGGAGCAGAACTTTTAGGGATTTGCAATTTTAGGAGATTAAAGATGCTGATGATTAATCCAATTCAGTGATAAGCATTTTCATTGGGTCACAAGTGTTGCCATGGGGTACAGTAGCAGGACCAGTGACTTCTGCTTTGAAGAATAGAAGGGATTTATACAGGTGATCTTGGAGTGGTAATTATATTCTGTAAGGTGCCTAGGTAACAAAAGTAGTTAACTGGAACAGTAGGATGAGCCTGTAGTTCCAGCTAGGAAGATCATTTGAGTTGAGAAATTTGGGCACAGGTTGGGAATATAGCAAGACTCTTTCTCTTGAAAGAAAAAAAATTGAAAAAAAAACAAACAAACCATAAAGTCTTGAGTATCTTCTGAGTGGAAGTCTGATTGCCATGAGAGGTTAAGTGGTTTACAGAACTGGTCATCTTTTCAAAAGTAAAGATTGCTCATTATCTTTTTTTTTTGGATACTCTAACTTAAATAATACTGTATTATGCCAAGAAAATCAGATTTGTGGAAATGATCTTATGTAGCTGAAAAGCTTCCCTGATCCCCTGATAGATAAGAATCAATTCTAGGCTAGAGCGGTTTCTTCTTTTGATACTATAGGTATGATGTATAGGGCTTAGGAGATTTTCTAGAAACTATACGCACACTTAAGACTTGTAAAAAGTCCTGTAAAGAGGAAACTCAGAATTAATAAGTTTATTGAATTGTCCATAAAATACAGTGCTTGGTTAATGAGCTAACTGCAATTCAACTCTTTAACAGTTTTGTGAATTATGTCTAATATGGGAAGTGCTCTCTCAGAAACAAGGATGTGTAAAACTATGACTTTATGATATTTATGCTTAGTTTAGCTCTTGAAAACTGTTTATTCTTCAAAAGAGAAGACAGATTGTGCCTGGGAAAAACAAAATAAAGTATTCCTTGCACACCATTTCTAACTCAAGAGCTCTTCTAAGCCATTCTCGTTAAATCAGTCCTTTTGTAATGATGGCTCTTTGTGGGCCAAGATGAACTTGACACATTTTTTTCAAAGATGGAAATAAGAAAAGCCATCTGGAAATTTCTTCTAGAAGCAAGTTTCTTCAAAGGCATACTGCTTTTCCTGTTTTGTACTCCAGGACTCCCAATGCCACCTTATGGACACTCCAGAAATTACAGGCAGGTTTTAATTGTCAGAAAGACCAGACAACATAGTAATTCTCTCTGATCCAGGGATCCAACAAGCATTTAGAAAGAGTCATTATTTATGCGTTTTTCTCTCTATCAAAGGCTGAAGAACAACAAAATTAAACGCACATTGTTGTCACCTCTTTCATTTGTTAGCAGAGGTAAACAAGCCCTGTGTAGTCACTGTTTCTTATCAGATGGGGCTTAGGGGATACCAGTGCCTTCAGTGTATTCCCTGACAATTCATTGCTTTGTTCTTCCACTGCTTTCAGATCTTTGCTTCTGAGTTCTCATTTTTGGTGAAGGCTTCACTGACCATCTGTTCTGTCTCCTCTTTATCCCAGTCCTACCCAGATAGATACCCTGTTCTTTCCTTTCTGTGAATTACTACCTCTAGAATGATGTATGAGAATCCTGGAGATTGAATTCAGCCTTAGCTCTGCCCATTAGGTTTAGCTTTGGACCTGTCATTTGCTCCCCTATGATTTAGTTAATAGTTATCTGAAATGAAGGAATTAGAAGAGATGATTGTTGTATGTACTTCAAACCTGCAGTTTGGGTACTATGATGTCAAAAATAAACTTGCTTCATTTGGAAGTAAATTGTGAAGGTGGGGATATATGACTTATTAAACCACCAGTACCACCAGCACCACCAACAAAAATCCCCAAGCCCAGAGCATGATATTCGGACTTCCAGTAGATGCTTGACAAACATGCTTTAATCTTGCCAAAGAGGCCTTTGATCTGCCTAATATCTGCTTGTCATGTCTACATTTTCTTCCTGAAGTTTCATACCACCTTTTCTGTAAGCATGCAGTGGAAGACCAGTTGGGAAAAACGGGGTTACAGGGACATCTGCTTCTTTGCAAGCATTTTCAGGACTCTGAACCATGGGAAAGGGCTCCCGACTCACCTAAGAGGACAAAGATGCAGGCCAGGATGGCGATGAGGGCCCCCCGGCTCAAGCTGACCGGGAGCATGTAGGCTTCAGGGCTGCAGGACATGACATGGCCATTGTCGTCACAGCTGCAGACCTGGATGGTCAGTGTGCCGGTGCTGCTCAGCACTGGCTGCCCGCTGTCTGCTATTAGGACGGGCAGGTAGAAGATGCTCTGCTCCTGCTGCCGGAAGCCAGACCTCCTAGTTAGAATCCGGGCAGTGTTATCTGAGGGAGCAAGGGATTCCAGGATGGAAGAAAAATAAGATGGGAGAAGAAAACAAGAGAAACAATTAGATGAGCTATTTTTTTTTTTTGATTTGAGGAAAGCAAGGAGACAGGGACAGGACAAAGGGAGAGAACAGGGTAGACAAAATTCCCTAGAGGTATTCAGCTGTGGCTTATGCGACATTGGCCTAGATCAGCACTTAGATTCAGAAGCCAAGATTTTTACCAGCTCTTAGGCACAACCCCAAGGCTTAGGAAAGAAACCCTTTTTTGAGGATCTGTGTTACCCTTCATGACATAAAATGCCCAGGGCAAACTGTCAGCCTTCAGATCTAACCAAAGAGTCCCTGGGAAAGCTTGACAGAAATGAACAATCACTGGCGACTTGAAGTCCCTGTTTTGTTCCTGCTCAGCAGCTTGCCAAGGCCCCAATGCTGCTTTGTGCCTTCAGGAAAAGAATGCCGAGAAGCCCATGTGGATGCGGCAGATTGCTTATTTTTGCCACTTTAGTTGGAATTCATGTCTCTTGCCATTTTCTTTTATGCCTCTGAATTACAGTCACCGGCTTCCTGAAGAACCTGCTCATTTAGCAGAAGCTTATTTCAAATCCCTCAATAATAGAATGACATATTCTATTATTTCTCCTGGCTCAGTGGTCTAAGTTTATGCAATTAATAGGAACTTAGTGAAAATTTCATCCTAATTAGCAACACTAGTTATTTTCTCCTTTAAAAAAAAGAATAGAGATAATCATTCATCTTTGTGGGATACAGTGCTGTATTTCAATACATTCGTACATTGTATAATAATCAACAAGGATATTCATGCTACCATCATCTTATACATTTGTCATTTCTTTATGATGACAGAGCTCTTTTGGAGCTCTTTTTTTATTGTGAAAATACTGTACAGAGGGGTTACAATTACACAGGCAAGATAATGAGTTCATTTCTTATCAAGCATTGTAGCCTCCTCCTTTGTTTCCCCTTCCCATCCCTTCCCATCCTTCCCCCCCACCCACCCAATGGAGATCTTTTGAATTATGTGATAGCTGGGAAGGTGGCTCAGTGGTAGAGCGCTTGCCTTGCATGCATGAGGCCCTGGGTTTGATTCCTCAGCACCACATAAGCAAAAAGAAAAAAGCTGGAAGTGGCGCTGTGGCTCAAGTAGTAGAGGGCTAGCCCTGAGCTGAAGAGCTGAGGGACAGCACCCAGGCCCAGAGTTCAGGCCCCACGACTGGACCCCCCCCCCAAAAAAAAGCCTGAATTATGTGATATTATTGAGGATAATTATCTTTTATATAATGGAATACTGGAATTTATTCCTCCTTTGTTTGAATTCTTAAATGTATTCCTAGAAAACTAGTATGTGGATTTATGTTTATATTTGTCCAGTGATATATTTTGAAATTTAAAATAAACTCTTCATTTTCAAGTTTCTGGAGTGGCTTTGAATTCTAAAGGATATATTTTTGTAGAATTTAGACAGCAGAGGAACAATCTGAGAGATGTAGTAGGACACAGAATTAGAGACTTTCAAAAATAATAGTGCCAATAAAGAAGATTCACTAGGTGTGTTTCACATTTCACAGGGCAGGGCCTGGAATACCACAAAGCCTTCTGAAAGTCTAACCACAGTAAATGTCATTAGTGGTCATCAGTATTTCTGTTTCTCCTCTTCCTGGCCAGTTTTTATGGAAGCAGCTATGTTGTTTTGAATGCTCAGATGCAAGGTACTTGCTCTTCGCTGTACACGTAGTACCTCGTTTAACGTTCACAGTTTGGTGAGATAATAATAATTCATTTTTTATAGTGAGAATTAAGGCTTGGATAATTTTGCAATTGTTTCAAAGTTACAGACCTAGTTAATAGAGTTGAACTCTGTTCCTGCTGACTCTAAAGTATACCTTCCATTCAGCTGTTTATATAGTTCAGATGTACTAACTTTCCAAAGTTACTCAGATACTTGTAATCTCTTCCTTTTCTCTTCTTTTCTTCTGAGTAGTGTAAGATAAGTGGTTACCAAGCTAAGGATGCCATTCATCTGTCCACCTATAACATAACCTCCACTGGACACTTTTTCCCAGACTTAATAGCTTAGTATTCTTAATTGTGCTTTATAGCTTTAAGTGTTTGCTTCTTTAGAAATCAAGTTTTTCTCTAAAGGGAATGGTCTTTATTTCTCTTTAATCCAGGCTAGATGTATTGATTTTAAGAAAGACTGACACTGGGTTACATTTCATTCCAGTGTTACAGTATGTCTACTAAATACATATTTCTTTCTTTTTTGGGAGGGGGTCCGGTCATGGGGCCTCAACTCTGGGCCTGTGCGCTGTCCCTCAGCTCTTCAGCTCAAGGCTAGCTTTACCACTTGAGCCACAACGCTACTTCCAGCTTTTTTCTTTTTGCTTATGTGGTGCTGAGAAATCGAACCCAGGGCCTCAGGCATGTGAGGCAAGCGCTCTACCACTGAACCACCTTCCCAGCCCTAAATACATATTTCTTAATGTGAGAATTAGTTGAGTAAAAAAAAACAAAACAGAACAGCTTTACATTTCTGAGTCTAGCCTGCAGAGGGGGCCAGTTACAGAGCCATTTGGATTTTTTGTTGTTGTTGAATATGATAATAAAGGTTTTAGCAATTTGTTTGTAAAGAATATTTGTTTCTAAAGGTGACATAGAACAAGTGTATGTGTGCATGCGTGTTCAACATGTGTGCATTACAATAGGATCAACTTCTGGTTCCAGTTTTAATGTTTCCTTACTCTGTGATCATTTGCCTACTTTCCTCATGTGTCAAATGAGGCAGTGAGGATCAGAAGGATTCGTGATTTCCTCAAGACTGTGGCTTTTTATTACAAAAATCAAATTTAAAAATATAGAAAAATGCTTTTGAAGCTGTGAAGTGCTATATACACACATGTTTTGAAACCAGAAAAAAAGCTGTACTTGCGACAGTGCCTCATTGTGTTCATAAAAGGACACCATGTTTCAGGGATGGGAGTGGCAGTGGGGTGGAGGACTCTACTGATAGTAGGTGAACAATATCACTCATGAGTCAGCTTTTACATACATCATTAAATGATATTAATGAACTACAGCCCATAATGAACTAAATTGTTATATGATGATCAACAATTCATGTTTTCTGTTGAAGATGTTCTTAACTGTATTATGGAAAACTTTCCAAAAGAGAGTCAGTCATGTTTTACTTGTATTCCCTTGGCCCATCTTGGTAACACATCGGTTCCCTGAATTGGTACTCATAGTCATCTTAAGAAATTTGGAGCATTTTGGTACATATTGTTTCTGACAAGTATGAGGATGAAGAAACAGAGTGGTATTTGGCTGAAAATATGAAGAAACAACGTAATGGGTTATTCTCCTCACTCTAGGGTTTCCTTTGTAAAGTCAACCCCATAGAGCCGAGCAAAATCACAGGAAGGGTTTCCCTCTGAAGCAGATAACTGATAATTCAAAAGTTTTAACCAATAAAAACTTCAGGATATTTAATTGTATTTCTGTTGTTAGGATTTATGTTGTTGTTTTTTTCCTCTCAAAATTATCATATGCCTTTGAATTTGTACTTAGTGTTTCAAATAACTGATATTTGAGACTTTTATTGTTTTGGTCAGTTGTGGGGCTTGAACTCTGGGCCTGGGTGCTGTCCCTGAGCTCTTCAGCTCAAGGTGAGCACTCTGCCACTTGAGCCACAGTGCCACTGCCGGGATTTTTTGGTGGTTAATTGGAGATAAGAGTCTCATGGACTTTGCTACATGGGCTGGCTTTGAACCATGATCCTCAGTTCTCAGCTCCTGAGTAGCTAGGATTACAGGCATGAGCCACCAGTGCCCTGCTGAGGCTAGCATTTTTGCTACTCTTTGTTTAGATTGTTGGAATGGAAATGAGATTACTGTAGACCAGAGAAGTGATAACCTTTCCAAGCCAGGTAGATAGTAGCAGAGTTAGCAGCAGAAGGTGTTCATCTGACTGGTTCCATTTCTTTTTCCAATTACTCTGACCTTTCTTTGAGTACACCATCTGACTAAAGAACAAAAGCCACCCCCTTCTCATTTTTGTCTAAGAAGAAAATTCTGAGTACATAAATCCCTTTGGTAATCTTAGTGCTTATTGGAGGAGGCCTAAAATCCCATTTCTACCAGAGAGCAGTTTCTGCAGTAGAAACCCTTCCTGAGTTTGTTTTCCTAAATCACAAAGTTGTTTCAAGAACTAAACTGTTGGATTGGCCCTTTGCTATCCATCTTCATTATCTAGCCTTTGCCTCCTGTTTGCTCTGAGAACTCTTCACCCCTTCCTCTTCTGATCTTTAATTAGAAATGATCCCTAAGAGTTTTCTTTTTCTCTGAGTCTCTTCTTGTCATCCCTCTGAATTATTACCATCATGAAAGAACACATAAACATGTTTTCATGAATAGGAATAAAGGATGGACTTTGCCTATGTGCCTTTGTGTTTCTGGCACATAACAATCAGTAAACATTTATCAATTTACTGATGAATGAAAATTTAGTCAGCAGAGGGCACTCTTTGCCTTTTTAAAAAGAGAATTCCGGTTAGTATCAGTTGTTACAGGGCAGGCAAACTTTAACACCATTTGGAACAGTAAACAAAAACATCCAGCCTGTGTTGTAGAACAAAGTACAGATAGCTGTCTGTCCACCTAATTACCTTGGTTGTCCCTTACAGTGAAGTTTGGGTTGTTAGCAGCCTCAGGAGCCAAGCTGTAGTAGAAATGCTGCCCATTGTGTGGGTCATCCTGGTCCACAGCACTCACTGTCTGGATTACCTAAAGGAGAGACATGAAATCAGGTGAGTTGACCGTCAGAAGAAAAGCTTCAGAGCTCAGCATAATCCCAAACTTTGAATCTGATGACAGATAGTTTTACCTAGTGACAAAGGTATCATGGTACTCATCAGGAAAGTCACCTGATGGACAGGCTGAGAAGTCAGGAAAATTACCCCATTTATAATAGTCTAACAGAATACCTAGGAATAAACTTAACTAAGGTGGTGAAAAACCTCTATAGTGAAAACCACAAAACTTTGAGGAAAGTGTGTAGAGCAAGGGGCCTGATTGTTTATAATTGTTCTTATGTTGTTTGGATTGTTCTTGAGCCTCATGCCTTGAAATTGCCTTCAAGATGTTTCCTAGGATAGAGACCAAGAGCAGGATTTAAGACCTTCTAAGTATAGGGCCCATGACTCTTAGTAACCTGTATTATTTCATCTTTTATTCCAATCATGTTCACGTGATTTTACAAAACAACGAACATGCAAATGTAGTTTGTATTTTTCCTTTATACTTGTAATAACATGGATTTCTTGGGCTGTGAAGTTTGCACTGTAACCTTTGTGCTGATACTGGGGTTTGAATTCAGGACCTGCATGCTGTCCCTTAACTTCTTTGTTCACAGCTGGGGCTCTACTACTTAAGCCATAGCTTCACTCCTAGCTTTTTTGGTGGTTAACTGGAGATAAGAATCTCATACTTCCTGCTTGGGCTTTGAGCTGGTATCTTCAGATCTCAGCCTGTAGAGTAGCTGGGATTATAGCTATGAGACACCAGCATCTGGCTTCATGGTAGCTTTTCTTAGCTGCATAATATTTTAGTTCTATATAGATTAGAAATTTAATAGATGTGGAAGAAGAATTATCCTGAGCTTGAAAAAAAATCATTTATGAACTTAATAGACTATCGTACCAAACTTCAAGAGTTAATGAATGAAATGAGTTTAAATCATAATTATTGTTGGACACTTCGTTTTCTCCAGGCACTAGAAATCACTTTTGCTTTGAGTATAGATGTATTGTGTCAATCTTTGGGGAATCCAGGGAGTTAAGGTTAGATATGGTTGAGTTTCAAGTTGGATGGATATCTCATACAGGATACACTGTGAATCATCCCACCATTAAAATACTGGTTAGATTATAAAATGTGATGTAGGCTCCAAAGAGTTGTCTTGACAAGCTATTGAAATGTGATATAAAGAAATTAGGGAGCTGGTTTAGAAACTTACTTTCTTGAGTACAAATGTCCTCGGAGGTGAGGTTGGTTATCTGATTTGTTTCTGGTTCCTTAATGCCCAGCCTCCTTACCTGTCCAGCTTTGGCATTCTCACAGACGAAAGCTTCGTAGAATCTGGGGAACTCTGGAGCATTGTCATTCACATCTAAGACTTTGATTGTGACAGAAACACTTCCCACCTGGGAGGGATTGTCTAGAGAGAATTGAAAGAAAACCAGAAGTGAGAGTTCAGTAATGCAAAAAGCAGCAATCTGCTAAAAGTAGGTACTTGTCTGGTCAGTCTGGTTTGTAAAGGAATGGATAAAGTACATGGAAATGGCAGCACAGGCATAGATGTGTGCATTGCCTGGTAGAGTGTAGCCAGAAAGAGATGTCTGCTGGGGTGTATTTGATATCAGGAATGTGAGGAGCAGGAGAGACTGAGGGGAAGCAAGTATCACAAAACAAGTCTTAAAAAGATTTTGACTCTTGTTGGCTCACACATTCAGTTCTAGAATTAAAGGTAGGTCAGTTCTGTGTTCTGGGCTTTAAAACCACCCATTTCTATAATTGGATGTATGCTGTGTGTAACTACTTGGCTTTATTCCTGTAGAATAATCAGTTCTTTAAATTACGTTGGAAAAAGGGTCTCAAGTTATTCACTGGAATAGAGATAACACTGCACAGTTATTTCTGCTTAGGGGCTGAAAGGACATATGCATACTAAATCTGTATCTTTGGCTAGGGTAGAAGCTATAAACACTCATGAGGAAATGGGTCTTTTTTGATCTGTGTCTTTTCCTTGGCATTACCACACAAGGATAGCATCACAGCTCTAGTGGTGCCCCTCCTATCTTTTACCGTGTGACTACCAACCCAAGGATAAAACATGTTACAAGAAACAGAAATTTTCTTAGTAAGTAATCCCACAATACATTGTTCTTGTGATTAAGCTTTTCTTTTCTTTCTCAAAAGTATCTCATTTCTACAGTATTGTACCCTAAAATGCTGGTACTCCTTGGTTACCAGAAATCACTGATATAATTAAAATTTATGCTTTCATTATAACATGATTATTTATAGGCAGAATAATGAAATTTTTGAAAAAACAAGATTATGATCTATAATCCTATCATAGATACCCATTGTATATTTAACTTAAATGTGTAAAACATATGTAGTGAAACATACACACAGAAATTGCAGGTAAGCAAAATAAACAAAATGGATTTAGAATAATTTTAAGCCAAAATTATTGCCCTTGAATAATTAAAACCATGAAAATATTAGCTAATAGTCTCATTTTAATGTAGGCTGTATCATAATTTACTTAGTCAAATCCATGGATCAGAGATTTAGTAATTCCTATTTTCTTCCTATTTAAAATACAGAGAAATGTCTACTACTGAAATAGGGCCATTGGGTCTGGCTGGCTCCATCTTTGCCACATGGTAGATGGTAAGATCTGGTATCTTGTCTTTGTGGTGGGGGAAGGTGAAGCCCTCCCACCTCCCCCACCTCCCAAGTGATAGACAGGTCTGAATCCCTGGAGGCAGGAGTGGGCAATTGGCTGATAGGTTACTAAAGCTGTCAATCCTGTGCCTGGGACTGGGAGTTTCCTGTGACCCTGCATCCTGACCTGGCCCTATTTAGGCCTGCACCAGCTCAGGTGCCAGGAGGCCATGTCACATGTCTCTGTGTTTGTGTTCTCTGTCTCCTGGCTGTTCTCCAGTCACCATGGCATCCCACTTCAGCTCTCCATTGGAGCTGAATTGGATATTTGGTATTGTTTTTGTTCTTTCTTTCCTCTCTGGCCTTCAGGCTCAGTTTTTTAACAGTGTTAAGTGTATTTGCTGACTGCTGGTCTTTGAGACAGGAGTCCACCACATAGTCACTAGCCTTTTAATAAACACTCCAACAAAATGTGGCTTCTCCATTTTCTCACCTTGCAACACTACAGTGGGAAATTTATTATACAGATCTTTGCTGAAATTGGAAGTGGCACTGTGGCTCAAGCGGTAGAGCGCTTGCCTTGAGCTGAAAAGCGCAGGGACAGCGCTCAGGCCCAGAGTTCAAGCCCCACAACTGACCAAAAAAAAAACAGAAAAAAACAAAAAACCAAATCTTTGCTGAAATTGATAGCTGTATTCATGAGACTATCTGAGGAAAAGAGTAACTAGTTAAAAAAAATCTTAGTACACTGACAAATTGCCCTCCTAAGTAGCTATGCCCAGTTATTTTTCTAGTAGATAACGAACTTGTGTTTTCACGAGTCTTTACCATTAGTATTATATTTTTTTAAAAAACATAATATATAGTCTATTTTTTCCAGTGATGGTGACAAACCTAGGACCTTGTGTATGTTAGGCAAATAAAAAGATAGTGATATTGATTTTTTCATCCACTAATACAATTTTGTACTACTATTTGTGCATTTGTAATCTTGTTGAGGATTGAAAATGTAGAATTCTCAGGAACCCTTTCTTTTCCCTGTAGGTATTTTTGGGTGTAAAATGATATCTTTTTTCTGTTTTGCATGCTTTGTGTGCAAGCTTTGTTTGCAACATTATACATCCAGTAGATTCTTAATACAAATAATTAAATACTTAATGTAAATACTTAACAAGTAGTGAAGGCATTCACTTATTTGCATAAAACATGATTCAATTTTTCCCCTTATATATATATTTTGTTATAAGTTCCAAAAACTTCCACTTTTGACACTTTTTGTCACATATGAAGACTAGTGTATTATGTTACTTACTCATTTCCATAGCAAGGACAGTGATATTATGCCAAGAATATTCTTCACGGTCTAACGGTCTTGCAGTCATCAGGGCACCTGTTGTAATATCAACATAGAAAAATCTCCCAGGGTCACTGCTTCTGTCAATGGAATACCTGCAAAAACATGAATATGTTCATCATTTGCGTTTGGCTAAATATAGGACAGCACATTACTAGAGATAACTGAGTGTATACCGTGTGAAACAAGGCTTGAGCAGGTTGAATGGTGAATACCTAAAAGACTATGGTTTTATCTAGTTCAAAAACCAAACCAAACCAAAACAAAAAGCCCAAATTAAAAACTTATTACTGCTTTTATTTTTCTCTTTTAAGAAGGAAGGAAGCACAGGAAGGAACTTCCTGAACAGAGTCCCAAGGTCACAACAAATTGGAGAGAGGGACTCGACAAATGGGACTACCTTAAAATAAAAAGCTTCTGCACAGCTAAATCTATTGCAACCAAGCTAGAAAGACAACCAACTTATTGGGAAAAAATATTTACCAGCAATATATCAGACAAGGGGTTAACATCAAGCATATACAGGGAACTCAAGAAACTAATCCCCCCCAAACCTAACAAACCAATTACTAAGTGGGCAAAGGAACTAAAGAGGGACTTCTCAGATGAAGAAATAAAAATGGCAAAGAAACACATGAGGAAATGTTCATCATCCCTGGTGGTGAAGCAAGTGCAAATAAAGACAACCTTGAGATACCACCTTACCCCAGTCAGAATGTCCCACATCCACAAATCAGCCAAAGACAAATGCCGGAGGGGATGTGGAGAAAGAGGAACCCTATTACACTGCTGGTGGGAATGTACACTTATACAACCACTTTGGAAGGCAGTCTGGAGGGTCCTTAGAAAGCTAAAGATTGACCTCCCTTACGACCCAGTCATACCACTTCTAGGCATCTACCCTGAACAACAGGAACCAATATACAAGGACACATGCACCTCCATGTTTATTGCAGCACTGTTCACAATAGCTAGGATATAGAAACAACCCAACCCAGATGCCCCACCACAGATGAATGGATCCAAAAATTGTGGTATCTATACACAATGGAATATTATGCAGCCATTAGAAATGACAAAATAATGGCATTTGCAGGGAAATGGATGGAGCTAGAAGAAATCATGTTGGGCGAGGTAAGCCAAGAGCAAAGAGACAAACGGTACATGGTCTCCCTGATAAGTGGATGTTAAATCCAAAATGTTAGGTGATACGACAAAATTAACAGGACTTAAGAAACAAGGAACTTCCACTCATGTGGTCGAACCACTACTAAATATCCCCATGCTGCTGATCACATGTATGGTGTATATGTGTACACCGTTATATGTTATAGACCGTGATAGACAGTTTGCTCCAGGAAAGTTAGAATAAGCTTGTTATTTTAAATGAGCATCATTATTCCACAATACTGTGAAATTTTGGAAATTTGGGAAATTATGTAATCACTTAATCACAATTAAAAAAAAAAGAACCTCGGGGAAGGTAGGGAGGGAAGGGATAGTAGGGGGAAAACAATGGAGGGGGTAACAATGCTCAATAGGAAGTGTACTCATTACCTTACTCATGTAACTAACCCTCTGTATAGTATCTTTACAATAAAAAATTTAAAAAAAGAAGGAAGGAAGGGAAGGAAAGAAGGCAGGCAAGAAGAAAGAAAAGCAGAAGGCAGGAAGGAAGGAGGGAAGAAAGGACGAACTAAACAGGATGCCAAGAATTTAATCTATTTAAAAGATCAATTATACAATTTTAAAGCTTAAAACGGTATCTTAGAGTTTTGAGATATCTTAAATATCGACCTCTACAAGTAATCATCATTCATCATATGTGTCAAATATTAATCTGAACTAAAAAAGAAAAAGGAAATGGTATAGTTTAGTAGTTCCAGTTCTTGTAATTAGTATCACTTATGGGGAGAGAAAGCCTTTTGCAGAAACATACTCATGATTTGATTACAGAAAATTATAATAATGCAATTCACTAGTGAAGATTCCTTTTAAAAAATGCTTTAAAAAGTCTTTAGTACAGTAATTCATTTTATTAGTATAATGCATCCTGGTCAGTGTTACCTCTTTCATCATTCTCCCCCATCTTTCTAACCCTACCTATACCCTCAAGTTACGAGGTGTTATTTCTAGTGAAGATTCTTTAGAATACTTTCAGCAGGCTGGACCTCACCTTTTAAAATTGCTCACTGTAAGTCTGAAGTTTGTGTATTTATGGGGTACAGCTTGCTGGAAAATGTCATGTAAACTATGTTAGTAATAGGGTATAATAAACACATTCCATAATAAATGTGGCCTTTTCTGTTGAAGCAATGAACCTCATCTATTGTTTATACTTTCTATGTTATTTTTTTTCTCAACCAACATGCATCTTTGTGTAGGAAAGAAGAATGTTTATAGGCTCCTATGCAAGATAATTTCAGCTTTTCAAGAGATTAAAGTTTATTTTGGTGGTGTATATGTCCTTTGAGACTTTTGTTAATGCGGTACTGGGTAAGGTCTGCAATTCTAGTAGAATCTGATTTGGCAAGCTGATTTCTTTGCCTTTTGCTCCCCTATATTATCTCACTTGTTCACCATATTGTGAGATTCAGTAAGAATGGAGGGAGGGTCCTTTAAAACCATAGCAAATGTCACAGATGGTATGGGAAATGGAGTGATAGAAATGACAAAGCAACAGGAACCCAGATTGCACTGTGTGGTGGACACAGCAGGAGCCTGCTGCAGGAAGCCTCCCTCATTAAGTGCAATCCCTCTCCAATTTCCCAAACTAGACCTGTGCTGAGGGAATAATGGCTTTCATTTCTCTGAATGGGGCACTGGGCCAATTTCCAGAAGGCAGAGGAGTAAATTAAAGGTATAGATACATATGGAGAATAAGGAAATTGGGACACACTAATGAATTTTGTAGCTACGTTTCCTTTCTCAAACCACCATATTCTAGCTGACATTCAGCAGAATAGGTATAAACCACACATGCAGAACGGCCTGAAGGAAACAGTAGCTGGTGTTTGTTGGGCTCCCTGCTTGTTTGCTTGGGTGAGGACATTGTCATGAGCAGGCTTGTTAAATCCACATGCCCTAGGATGGCATAGGAGGGCAGGCTGTTTCCACACCAGCAGAAGCCTATTTCATTTGCCAGTGGTTCAGCATCTTGCTTGCCAGACATTTTTTGATTTTATTAAAAATTCAGGGGATTTAAGCACTGTAATTTTTCATATACACATTAAACTAAATCTGGAGATATCATTTTGAGGTTTATCAGTAAAAGACAGCCAGCTTAAAGTTGGCAAGCACACAATAAACTTTACAAAAGTCCTAATAACCTTTTTAAAGATTATTTAAAGAGATAATAAATGTCCTAATAACTTTTTTTTTTTTTTGCCAGTCCTGAGGCCTGAACCCTGGGCCTGGGCACTGTCCCTGAGCTTCTTTTGTCTCAAGGCTAGCACTCTACCACTTGAGCCACAGCACTTCTGGCTTTTTCTGTTTATATGGTACTGAGGAATTAAACCCAGGGCTTTGTGCATGCTAGGCAAGCCACCACTAAGCTATATTCCCAGCCCCCTAATAATCTTAAAAATGTTAAGTGGTCTTTACTCCATACTATTATAATACAGGTAATACCTGTTGGTGATTTCACGTGGATTTTTCTTCTAGAATATGTGTCACTTACTCTTTATAACAAAAGTACAGAAGATGAATTAGCTATACAACATTTACAAGTTACCTTAAACTTAACTCATTAAAAAATAAGCATAAACTGAACAATTTAGGGAAAGATAACAGAGTATGCAATCCAAAATAGGCTTGTTAAGTAATGGCTGGAGATTTTACTTTTAGATGCTTTTCCTTCTGAGAATCAGAATCCTTTAATCCTCCGCCTTTGGTCCAGGGCCCATTCTGTGTTGAGGTAGGACAATACAGAGGCAGGTACCTATTATATCTTGTATAAGATGTATCTGGTATATTTGACAAATGAACTCCATGCTTTTTTTTAATCAAGTAAAGTGGATAGTTATGATAGTCTGCCTTGATCTTTGTACCTGAGCTCTTGTCAGTCTAGTCTTCTTCTTGCCAGATTCTCTTTTGAAAGGAGAAAAATGAGGCTTGTAGAGGTCAAATTAGTTGTTCAAGATCACAGTGCTATTCAAGGAATAAAGCCTTGAAGTTTGGCTTTAGGTTCCTGGCACCCGACTAGCAGACTATGGTCCCATTTTCCATATGCATGGTCAGATTCTCTAGGGAAACAAAACTTAATCTTCAAAGTAAAGAGTCCTGCCTCAGAATATCCCAGTAGATCCTTCCCTTTGCCTCTGGCCTATTTTCTTGTGGATTTATCCTGTCTGGGTTCTATTAGACTAGCCAGGCACTCCCTTTTTTACTTCTCTCATACCAGCTGATGGCTTTTAAGTGGCCTAGAAGTAGCAGTTTCTATTTGCCCATACGGGTTCCTTCATTTTGTCTATTTGATGTTTCCATATGTTAGTAGTAGATCTAGAACCACTAGTATTTTTCTTTAGTTCAGTTTTGAGATAATAATGACTTTAGTCCTGAATACTAGACATACACTCTATGGCTGGGTTGTGTATCTCTCTCTCTCTCTCTCTCTCTCTCTCTGTGTATCCTGTGATGAGTCTCTTTTTCTCATTTATTATTCAGTGTCGTGATCCTAACAAGACTTTGTTTCCTATGTCAACACAGAAGGGGCAGCATTAAAATCTAGAAAGAAGAAATGGAAATTTGCACATTTTAGAAATGTGACTATTTTAGAAATGGGCACTAAGTTTTTAGAGCTTCTGATTTATTCCATTATATTTATAAAGTTTTATCCTCTAAAGTTGTTCTTTGATATGCATAGACTAAGTAATACAAATTATGACCATAATAAAACATATCCTTAGTTTTCTGAAATGCAAATTAGCCATAGAATCTGCTTTTTTTGTTGTGATTGTTTTGGGGATAGTAAGGTTACTTCCCATTCTGTTTTATGTTTAATAACCTTAAGGTTGAAGTATCACTTTAAAAATTTTAAAATATTTTTCAATTTATTTGTACATCAACATCCTTTAAAATTTTGAGTTGACACATATTTATAATATGAGGAGTTTTTTTTTTCTGGTTAGTAGTGGGGCTTAAACTCAGGGCTTGGGTGCTGTCCCTGAGCTCTGTTGCTCAAGGCTAGCACTCTACCACTTAGAGCCACAGCAATAGTTTTAGATTTTCATTAGTTTATTGGAGATAAGAGTATCATGAGGACTTTTCTGCCTTGGTTGGCTTTGAACCACAATCCTCAGATCTCAGCCTCTCAAGTAGCTAGGATTACAGGTGAGCCACTGGTGCTCAGCATATGAAGGGTTTTGTTGTATTTTTTCCATACATGCACATAGTGTACTTGGAAAAATTCACCCTCTTCGCCATATTCCTGTTCCTCAACTTCTTTGACATATTACATTTATAAAGTTGGTAACTAGAAAGATTAGTTGTCTTTAAAAAAGAAGCCAGAAGAATTCAAATAAATCGTTTTAGCCATTTTTAAGACATGAACATGTAACATGTTTACTTCTTTGTTAGAAAAAACCAGATTTCCTTCAGTAATTATCTGTAGAGAACTGCAAAAATACATTTTCATTAAGTACAAAGCAGCCAGGTGATGAAAGTAGCCAGGTAACAAAAAAGCCAATTGATAGATTGAAGTGTATTTAAAATGTGTTATCTGTGCTATAGCCCCAGATTCATTTTACTGTGTGGCTTTCAACAACAAATGTGACAGATGGCCTCAAATGGCCTTGGATTCCTGATCTTTTGTGTCAGGCTTCAGAGGCTTGGCATTTGGTCTGAAGGCTGAGGTGTCAACCTGTCCACCAGCTGTTAACTTTGGTTCCAGCGTTGAAGGCAAATGGCCACAGTTATCAGAACAGCTCTTTCCTTTTGAGCATCTTGGTTGGACTCTAATTTCAAAATATACCATGGAGAAGTAGATATATGGCATTACAATTTAGAGCACTATCTGACCAGTTTACAGGGCACCACAACCATTGACATCAGGAATAGCTTTTAGGTACTCTTTCTGCAGTGATAGAAATAGCATTCATATGTAGTGTATGCTATTTCCTCAGTTTTAAAATGATCAATTAGTAGTACAAAGGGTTTCATTTTCACATTTACATATATATATATAATGCCTCATGATCAGTTTCCCCCTCTGTCATTTTGTTCCCCCCCTTCCATATCAGTCTCAGCACATTTTCTTATTCCGTTTTTCATGCATCTATATATTGGAACACATTTGACCTCTTTTTCTTTCTCCATTTCTTGCTCCATCACCGATTAGTACTTGCACCCCAGACAAGGCATCTTTCAACTTCCTAATCTTCATTTTCGTTCATGTGCATACTAATTATTCACTGTGTTGGTAATTAGTCACAGTAGTAAATCGTATATACCTGTAGTTACTTCAGTCAGATACGATCCTGTATATGTTTATATATATCTTTATATTTAAAAATTTAAAAACGTCAAAAGGTTCATAGTGGTTGAGGGAATGTGTAGTAATCACTTGTTTTTGTTTTGTTTTTTATTGTGCCAGTCCTTGGGCTTGAACTCAGAGGCTGGGTACTATCCCTCAGCTTTTTTGCTCAGGGCTACTACTTGAACCACAGCTCCACTTCTGGCTTATTGGGAGTTAACTGGCAATAAGAGTCTCACAGACTTCCTTACCTGGGCTGGCTTTGAACTGCAGTCTTCAAATTTCAGCCTCCTGAGTAGCTAGGTGTAAGCCACTGGCACCTGGCTGTGGCCACTTATATTCACTTCTGTGACAATGGTTTTTGTTGTTGTTTTTTAAAAATATTTTTAACATTGTGCATCTGATTATTCTTTATCTGAATTGGCAGATCTCCACTGGGGTAATATTTGCAGCACCTCTCCAGGACATTTGGCAATATCTGGAGACATTGTAGATTGTTAGAACTCAGGGGCTATGATTGGCATTTAGTGGGTGAAGGTAGAGATACTTCTGTATATTGGTTAGTCCACCGGGCTGCCTCCCACAACAACTGTTACACAACCCTAGATATCAGTGGAACCATGACTGAGAACTTAGGGCATGTGTGTATACCAAATGGAAGTGAGTTGTAAGCATAATGATATTTCATTTCCAGATATCTTTACAAAGCATGTTATTTAAGCAACAACAACAGAAAGACGATTATCCAGAGATGAGATAGAAGGGAAAAGTGCTAGAAAATTGCATACAAGAGAAAGAACTATTCCATGATATAAGAAAAAAGATGAAATCTGTGGAAAAACCTGATTGAGTTGTTGGTCACATCTGGGTCCTTGGCAGAAATGATTTGTATGGTTGTTCCAATTGCTACATCCTCAGGTACTTCCACAAAATAATAGCCAGGTTCAAACACTGGGGGTTCGTCCACATCCTCCACGCTGATGTGCACTGTTGTTGTGTCCTGAAATGGGCCCAGGTTCAGAAAACGCATCTCTAGGTGAGGATTGGCTCCCTCCACCTTTAAGGTATAGCTTTTCTTGCTTTCGAAACTCAGGGGCTAAAAAGTAATGACAGAAAAATTTTGATTAGCCACTAGTAGATGTTCAATATTGATCACTAGTAGGAAGACCTCCAAATTAAATGAAATGACAGAAAAGGCATAAAAATAAAAATGAGGAAATAATTTCTCCTTCTACAGTTAAAGGTTTTGATTTCAGTTTCACCCTGGGTAAGGAATGTAAGGAAGATTTGAGAACTTCTGAGGTAGTTAAGGAAGTCAGTGGGATGGTAAAACCATTTTATTCCAGGCAAGCATGGCTTTAACTTGTCTACTAAATAAGCGGCATGGTCTTGAGAGGTTCCTAGGAACCTTCTCTGCCCTGGCTCAGGTTTTGCTTGGCACTACTCAGTTTTAAAATGGATGGCTTCTCCTCTCCTCTCCGCAACCCCTTCTCTCCCTGGTAAACTAGTACATTTTCATTCTTAATAGCATCTTGAAGAAGAGCGCTAGCCTTGAGCTGAAGAGCTGAGGGACAGCGCCCAGGCCCAGAGTTCAGGCCCTACAACCAGACCGAAAAAAAAAAAATAGCATCTTGAAGAATAAAACCTTTTAATTTTGTCTTAACAACTTTTCTTTCTTTCTTTCTTTTTTCCTTTCCTTTTCTTTTTTTGCAAGTCCTGGGGCTTGAACTCAGGGCTTGAGCACTGTCTCTGAGTTTCTTTTGCTCAAGGCTAGTACTCTACCACTTGAACCACAGGCACCACTTTTGGCTTTTCTGAGGAATCAAACCTAGGGCTTTATGCATGATAGGTAAGCACTTTACCACTAAGGCACATTCCCAGCCCACAACTTTTCTTTTTTAGACTGGAATTCTGGTGTCATGTTGCAGAAACTTTTTGCCGAATTGGAATAAAAAAGATTGTCTCCTATGTTTCCTTCTACAAATACTAAAGTTTTAGTTTTGACTTAAGCATATGATCCACTTTAAGTTTATTTCTGTGAGGTATAATTGAAGTTTATTTTCTTTTTGCATATGGCATCCAGTTGTTCTAGCACCATCTGTTGAGAAGACTAGAGTGAGTTTTTAATTATTGTTGACATTTCTTTTTTAAATAAGTTACTTCATGATTTTCAAGCTATCTAAGATTATTGTTTCTCTCACAGCTACCTTTAGAATGGAAGTATCCTCAGCTTAAAGTTACCCAACCTTGATGCAAGTTTAACATTAGCTTCTTACTTTCCTAAACATATAACTATCTCTACATTCAGAAGGGTTTATGTAAATGTTGTAACAAACCCAAGTTCCAGCTTCAAGAAATTTCCTAGATTTGGAGCATTCAAAAATGAAAAATGATTAGATTCCTAAAAATGAAGTCATAAAATTACAGTTCAAAGTGGTAATGTGGATTTAGTTATTAATTACTTTAATTGAGAATTTAAAATCCTCTTAGATTTGGTAGATTTTACAATTTTGTTCTTGTGACCACTTAAGAGGAAAATAGGGTCTCCAAAATTGCTTATTGTATGCTGGAAGATGGAAGGCAAGCTGACATCTAGCAATTGACATAATATCATGTTCCTACAGAATAAAGCGCATTCTGAAAATTGTAATTTCAAGCATTGAAGAGACTAGCAATCAATCGATTGATTGCGTAAAAGCCAAAAAGACACTCAAGGTAGTAGGTAGTTATAATGTGGTTTTATGAAGATTGAGTCTATCAATTCAACTTAATTTTTCTTCTTGAAAAATTTTCTTTTTAGACAAATAATAGGCCTAAAGGAAATAAATCAAAAGCAAAATTTTGTTTCAATTTTATATGACACTGTTAATGATAAAGTAGGAATAATGTGTGTGAATCATACATCTGAGTGAATGTTGTTCCAGAATTATGGATTAAACCATCAAAAGCTTCAAAATATTTGTTATATTATGTGACTGGTCTGTCTGCCCAACTTATTGACTTCTTTCATAATCCTATTTTCTAGCAGCTTCTAAATTCAGAAAACAAATCAAAGTGACTCTAAAATTGATACGTATTTTGATTGAACATGGATATAGTTTTGATAACGACAGTGAGAGATAGTGTTCTGTACTTTGGGTTTTTACCCCTAGATAATGGAGCAGTTTCTTAAATTTTAATATTAATAGATTTTCAAGAAATGAATTGCTTGTAATAAGGGCTAAAGTATACTGTGAAATTTAACATAGATTGTTATTGTTTTTCTATGACTTAGAATTATGTGAAGATACAAAATATAATTTAACTGTTGAGTATACTTAAAATTTCTTTTCTGATTAATTTTTGAATGGAATTTTTGCATTCAAGAATTAAGTAATTAAAAACTTTGAGCATCCGTAGTTACTAATTAAAGTTAACAATGAATTATTGTTTACTTGAGGTATGACATGTAGTAAAGAAAGTTTTCAATCCTGTGTCATACCCCAAGTTGGTACTTTTACTTTTAGTCAACTTTTCTAATTCTATAATGTATTATTTTCACACATACACATTTTGATCATATTGATCCATCTTTACCCTCTCCATTTGCCCAGTGACTCCTTGCTAAGACCCCCACCCTGATAGAACCTGTATAATATTTTTGTTATTCATTTTTGTGGTTATGCTAATTGTTAAAGGAGTTTCACTGTGATTTTGCACACATGCATAAAGAATATTTTACCTAATACACATATTGTTATATCTGGCCAACCTTTCTGTAAAGTGATATGACCAGAATTAGCATGTAAGACCAAGGAATAGAGGCAAGTTTTTTCCTTTTTTAATAATTGGAAATCGCTTTTATCAGAGGATTTAAATCAATATATATTTTTAGTACAAAAACCCTCACTAGCATATTATATATAAAGCATCTATGAAAATGAGCTGGAAAAAGGAGTTGGACTACCTTCTTTACAGTTATGATGCCAACTTGGAAATTTGGATCTGTGTTAATATCAAAGGCATCTGCACCATCTCCATCCACAATAGTGTATTTCATCTCTGCATTGATTCCTTCATCCAAGTCCTTGGCAAACACTCTCCCCACTGTGGAACTCACTGGAGCTGATTCCAATACACTCATCTGATAATGTTCTGAGGAGAAAAACAAGAACATGCATCCTTGATAATCTGTTGCTACAAAGATAGGCCTTGTCATTATTATATCAAGTATGCTATATGTGAAACATCTCTTCCTTGCTTCAAAAATGAAAGCTTGAGATTTTCAGACCAAAATGGAGATCCACAGAGACTGTCACTCAAGTCTTACAGGTCAGAGACTACAGTGAATGTTCAATAAGGAAAAATTAAAATTGCTTCACTATTGTATTACTCTAAGAGTAGTACAAGCTACATGTGAAACTGTTTCTCATCCCAGTCATACTTCAGACTGGTGGAAAGTATCTTGCTTCCTAAACTTTTAGTATTTCCTAATGGGTGTGAATATTTTCCCAAATGTCAATTCCTTCTGTAAAAGATAGTAAGACACTGTGGTCACAAAGTATGTATTTATTTAACTATATTTCAAAGGCCTTCATTCCATGGCAAGGTCAGTGTGCTTTGTTCCCACCTCTATGATCAACCTATCTAGAGCTGATGGAGAATAGTGATCTATAAATGGAGAATAGCTACAGACAGCTAGATTCATTAGTTTTGTACGTATGGTCCAATAATAAGTCCTTAGAGCTGGGACCCTCTCACTGCTTCCTGATGCTTGTCTTAAAATTCCAAAAGAGATCCCACATGTTTAAGAAGCTCAGAGTTGGTAATGTTCTCCAAAAGGCTAGCACATGTGGCCTTTCACAAACATTTTCATGAGGGCCAGTAATGTGGGATGGATCAATTTAGTGAATTACTTACTTGTACTATTTGTGGAATGCTCTTCTTTCATGAATGTCCATAGGGACTTTGTGTATACCTGTTGTGTGTAAATGATTGAACTCACATTCTGTATTTACATAGATAAAGTAGAAGGTTTACTTGGTCTGGCTGATTCAAAATGCAAGCTATTTAGCTAATCTGGCTTAGTTCTTTCTATTTGTGTGTGTGTGTGTGTGTGTGTGTGTGTGTGTGTGTGTGTGCGCGCACGCGCGCACATGCATGCATGCCGGTCCTAGGACTTGAACTCAGCCTTAGCACTGTGCCTGAGCTTTTTTGCTCAAGGCCTGCACTTGAGACACAGTTCTGGCTCTTTAGTGGTTAATTAGAGGTAAGAGTCTTATGGATTTTTCTCCTGGGCTGGCTTTGAACTGTGATCCTCAGATCTCAGCCTCCTGAGTAGCTAGGATAATAGGTATGAGTCACCAGTGCCTGGCTTTCTGTTTTTTTTTTTTTTAATCTTATTTCCTTGGCTGAGTCTTTCAACTGGAACTATATCTGCTTCTCTTAGGCATCCACTTTTTGTCATGTCTCCATTCCTGGGCCCTGATCTATAACTCTATATTTTCATGGTTTTTTTTTAAAGACATTCAACCTGATTGTTATGTTGTCACTTCATATTCAAATCAGAATTTGTCTTCCTCCTTTCTGCCGCTTAGTTTCATTATGCACTCTCTCTTTCTGTCAGTAGTACAATCATTCTCCTTGTCACCCAAATTTAAAGCACTGTTGTCAACCTCAGTCAAGAAACCTAGTTTCCTTAGTCAAGAAATCTAGAGGCAGAAATCCATGTGTCCTTTTTCTTTTCTTTTTACTGTCCTGGGTGTTGAACTCTGGGCCTGGGTGCTGCCCCTGGGCTCCCTTTGCTCAAGGCTAGCACTCTACCACTTGAGCCACAGTGCCACTTCCAGCTTTTTCTGTGATTAATTGAAGATGAGAGGTTCATGGTCTTTTTCAGATCTCAGCCTCCTTAGTAGCTAGGATTACAGGCGTGACCCACCAACACCTGGCCCTTGTTTTCTTATTTATACCACTCTACTCCTCCTGCCTTTCCTCAAGTCCATATCAGTTCCATTCTGAGCCTTCTGAAAGCCTCCTAGCAGCTCCCATGCTTTCTCAGTATGCTTTGCCCAGCCAAGCCTGTATATGGCTACCAAATTAGCTCTCTCTGTATCTCTTCCGCAACAATTATTCTGTGACTTCACTAGAAATATAACATAGTTGAAAGAGCAGTGTTGATTTTTAGGAGTCTTTGAGCATAAAATAACATAAACAGTTTTATTTCCAGGAGAGGCAAAGGGAGAGGGAGAGGGAGAGACCATTTGTGTGTTTTGCTCATCTTCTCAGATGTTTTGTACACTGCTCTATGTCCCCATACTTAGAATTTAAGTCCTTTCATCCCTCAGACTGCCTGTGTAACTGAAATTGGCCTTGAATTCATCCTCTTATTGTCTCCTCTCAGTAGAACAGATGTTTCTTGAAGGATCTTTTAGATTCTTTGATCCTCTGTCAAAGTCTAATCCTTCTATGAAGAATTCCTGCATCTTAGTTTATTATGAATAAAACAATCCATATGCATTTCACAGACTGTTCCATGACACTATTCTTAACCTGCAGGATCCATCAACTTCTTAGTTACCTGCTTAACTCACATCATTTGTGAACTGCCCAAGAGGCACACTAAATACTCTTTATAGATAGCTTTTCTGATGTATAAAATGTATACTCCTGAAGTGAGCTTTCCACTTCATAGGAGCCTGGTTCAAGTGTCTTGTACCTACATGTATGGTACCCATTTGAAGAAGATACTTGTTATCTATCTGTGAATTGATTGGTTAAGATAATCAGATGGCCCAGTATGGTGGCCCAGTATGGTGGCACAGGTCTGTAATTTCAGTGACTCAGGAGGTGGAGACAGGAGGTTGCCAGTTTGAGGCCAACCTTGACAAAATATTCGTGGTATCTTCTCTCAAAAACAAGCCAGGAATGGTAGCTTATGTCTGTAATCACAGCACCTTGGAAGGCAGAAGAAATCCAAGATAAACAATTTCAACACTAAGGCTGGACTTTCCTCCTGCACCTCCTGCACCCTCTGGCCTGAGCTCTGTGCTTTGGTTGGTTAGGTACTCACTCTGGGGAAAGCGGGGTGGGTTATCATTGACATCAGACAGGGTGATGTTGACTGTCGTGGTCCCAGCTAATCCTCCAAGCTGCCCTCCCATGTCCTTGGCTTGAATAATCACTTCATAGTATTCTTTGGCTTCCCTGTCCATGTTGGTAAGTGCTGTTCTGATCACACCTGCAGGATAGAAATGACTGCTTTTCAAAAACAAAACCACAAGTCAGTTTTTTAACAGATTCAATTTCTAGTTTTCTCCATTGAGCAAGGTAAATGCCTAGAGGGTGTCAGTTGTTTCATTAAAATAGAAGCAGATAAAAACTGGGTTAAAACAATGAATTCATACAAAGATCCCAGCTGGAAGGGCTTAGACGCTGACTTCCTTTGGTAACATTACTGAAAGGGATCGGGAGGTGGCAGCAGTGTTTCTCTTACAGACTTGACTTGCAGACCAAGGTGATTTCAGAGGTCTGTGACTATCCAAAGAAAACTGGGACTTGGAGTCCAGAAGACAGTGTGTCATATGTCTGCAGATCTGTGACTTTTATGTTATTCTCTTTCAGAATTTTCTCTCCTCAGGCCCTAGAGCCCTTGTAGTATGAACGACTGCTTTAGACAAACTCGTATTCTGCTATTTTCTGCCTCCCCTGAACCTCTTTGTAGGGCTGGAATTCCGATTTGATTTCCTTTAGTTATTTGTTCATTCAATTTAGTTGTGTCCTGCTTGCCTCTGTGCCTCACTGAATTCTACGAGCTTGGGCATGAAATATGTTCTGTGAGGTGTGTATTTTTTACATGAATGACAGATGAGCTCCCCAGACAGTAAGCAGCAGCATAGTGCTGTGAAGACAGGGGTGTAACCTAAGTTCACGAAATGTTTCATTTTGATCTTGCCTCAGAGGCACAGTGATGTGCTATCTCCTTTTTAACCCTTCAATTTATGAAAGTTGACTTCTGAACACTGCAGGTGAAGATTAAAGGCTTATTGGTTTCAAGTTTATGGCGTGACCCTTGGCTAAATAGACTTTTTGCATGAAAAAAGAAGAGACTGGGAAGACCTACCCATCCCACATTTATTCCTCTAATGTATAGATTGCATTTGGCAATAACATTTTGAAGTGAAATATGAAGCATTTTCTTTCGCTAAATACCTCATGGGCACAGCAATAACTAGCTTTCCATGTAGTTTTGACCTTAACACTCTAGAGGCCCTCTGGGAGCTGTCAAAATAATGGAAGGTACTTCTTAGGGTATAAAGGACACATTATCCTCTTCTTGTCTATATTTTTTCCCTGTGGTCACTTCTTTCTCCTTCCACTACAGAGATATTGAAGTTTCTGTTTTATAGAAATCTCTGACTATAATTTTTTTTCTTCCTACTAATTTACACTTCTTCACTTTCTACTTTTATGATACAATTTTCTGAATGCCTGACTACCTTTAGAACTTCTCGGTGTATGTGTGGGGATTCTATCAGATTGCTAATAGTAGAACATATTTTTTTCCCTTTCAAATAAAGAGGTGACTTTGAGGGTTCACCATTGACTTCACCTCTGTAGCTGTAAGCTTCCTTACTCAACTTTCTTCTCCTAGGTCTGCAGTCGTCCCTATGTGAAATGGGAGTAACAATACTCTATACGTTTTGTTACTTCACAATATTATTGGGATGTTCAAATAAAGTCTATGAAAGTATCTAAAAAGGGAGGAATCCTGGAATAAATGTAAGATAATAATGCCATAATGGTTGGGCACAGGTGGCCTATGCCTGTAATCCTAGCTACATTCAAGAAGCTGAGATCTGAGGATCGCAGCTCAAAGTCAGCTTGGGCAGGAAAGTCCATGACACTTTTGTCTCCAATTAGCTACCAGAAATCTAGAAGTGAAGCTGTGGCTCAAGTGGCAGAGCACCAACCAGCCTTGAGTGAAAAAGCTAAAGGGCAGCATACAGGTCTGAGTTCAAGCCCTAATACTGGCACGAAAGCAAACAAAATAATGACGTAACTATTCTGCCCAGTTCAAACATATTAAAGAAAGGCTTTCATAGATTAAAAATAAATCTTGCAGCCAAAGACCTCAGGAAAAAAATTAAAATGGAAATAAAGTAGAAATTTAAAAAACCTGCCAAACTTCTATAGAGATGTCCTTTTCAGCCACATTGCTTGTTCCCCTCTCAGCTACTTTGCTGTCCTCCCTGTTGAATCTCCACACCAGGATCTGCCTGCTTAGACATATCCTATGTGCTCCTTCCTCGCCCCTCAAAACTTCCCTGCTCAGCTGCCATTCATTCTGACCTTGTGATCTGCGTAGTACTGGGTAGTTCAGTGGAAAACTTTGGGCCTCATGTCCAGAGATAGATCTATAACCAGTGAGCTTTAACTAGCATTTTAGCTCTCCAGTTTCCTTATCTGTGAGACATGGTGACAGGCTGGATGATTTTCCTGAAGGTGCTTTCAGAGCACGTGGTTCTAGTTCTAGAGTGTGCCTAGGTAAATATGTCATCTCTTGGATCTTCTTGTACTGTAATTATAGAAGCCTTTGCCTCTGGAAATAAATGTAGTCACATTTGGAGGGCTGGCTGGTGAGGAGCTATTTCTAGATAGGCAGAGCTTTGGCCCTGTACACTGTCTTTGCATAGTGCTGCTCTCAGCCTCAGGCCTGTGCCCCTTTGCTGTCTTAATCCTAAAATTTGTAACAGTTTTCTTTGCTTAGTATACTCCCTGGAGAGTCCTTGAAAAGGAAAGTTGCTTCTGTGGTAAGTAGAGGTTTCAAAGGATTGTAGAACAAAACAAACACCTCTGATTCTTGTATCAGATACCTGTTTTGGAGTCCACAGAAAAATATGGCTGGCCCTGGAGAATGCTGTAGACCACCCGGGCACTGTTGCCATAGGTGGGGTCATCAGCATCTGTGGCTGTCACCTGGATAACAGAGGTACCTGAGGAAGAGAAGTAGTGAAAACTTATTTATGTCTAGTTGTTAAAGGCTGGATGTACTCCTGAATGGTCAGTCTTAAAGCATTTACACGTGTTATCTTTACTTTCCTGGGGGAGGCCCCTTTCTATCTCAAGCTTCTATAGTGCTTTTCTTGTCTTTGTTTAGTAGAGATGATCATATAGTTATTTGTGTTTAAGTTCTTAGTAACTACTAAGGACAGCATAGTCTTTTTGGATCTTCTTTGCACTTAGATAATATTGAAATGTTTCTCTTTTAGAAGTATCTATCTACTAATCATCTATTTTTTTTAATAGAGTCAGAACTGGCAAACAATACAAGACTTAATATTTATTGTTGACTCCAATGTGTATGTAGCTTCCTGCCTGTTAAAAGACTTAATTGTAATTTTTGCTCCCATGTTTGTCATTTGTGAGTTGTTCTACGCATTCTTTGTGTCTCTGTCTATATATAGGAGGATCTCTGATAGGGCAACTGCTGTTTGTGAAAATCAGTGAATCACCACCTTACCCACTGGTGACATTTCTGGCACAGTGGCGACGTAAGGTCCATCTAGGAACTTGGGCTCATTGTCATTGATGTCTTGGATTTTGATGATGAACTCTGACTCCGGCTCCATTGGCCGGCCTGTCCGCCTGTCCAGAGCTTGAGCCCTTAAAGTGTACTGAGCTCTCTCTTCTCTGTCGAGCCTCTGAATGGCATGGATGTCGCCAGTAGTGTCATCAATGGTAAATACAATGCCTGCGCCTTCTCCCGAGAGGATGTATTTGATGGATCCATCTCCCCTGTCCATATCTGAATGAAGCTGTGGGAAAACAGTCCCAGAATCTCATTATGAATATTCACAAGCACTGTCAGGAAATTGATTTTCAATTTTGTACAGACCTCTAGCCTTCCTTCACCCAGGAAAATTATTTTTACTTAAAAGTTTAAAAAGTCTCACTATGGCTGGAAGCATGGATCAGGTAGTAGGGTGAGACCTGAATTTCAAACCGTAGTACTACAAAAAAAAAATCAACATCTATCTGTAAAGTTACATGATTGTACAAAAAGCAGGAAACAAATTTTCTGTACCATATTCTGTATTTTGAACTTATTTAAAATATTTTCTTCTTGAAGAATATGGAAAAATATCTCTGGAAAATATAGATCCCATTATGTGTAATTAAGAGCAAGAACTTCATCTTTCCTTAACAAATAGTAATAGACAAACCTAAGCATCCAACAATTTAAAAAATTGTTGGAAGTTAATTTTTAGGGTATTGACATTTTAATGACAATAAAGTTGGTAGAAAGCTGTTGAAGTAGTTTATTAAAAAACTGGCCGAAGATGTGGCTTAAGGCTGTGAGATCAAAATCCCAGGACTGAAAATAAAAAAGGCTAAATATTCCAGTGTCCCTTTCAACTCTTCAGTTCTGTAACCCCAGTTCTGTGATTTGATTTGGCAGGACTATACTTCTTGTTTTAGGAGTCAAATTGAATCTAACCGCTGGTTACCGTGTTTCACAGCAGAGTATCTCTGGTTTTTGTTGGACACTTTGGGTTTCTAACTGATTAACTCATGTGCAGTGGATGAGTTAGGGTTGGCTTCCATCTACCTAACTAAATTCCTCCCAGATTCTTTAATGATGACTCTCCAAAGGAGTCCAAGACTACTCTGCTGCATTGGTAATTGAAGATAATTTGTGTGGTTGCCAAGAACTCTGTAATTTTGTGCTGTTCTATAGGTAACGTAATCTTTCTAAAGAGATCAACAACAACAAGAAAAATTAGTTAAATTTAGTCAGCAACACTAACTGCTGCTTCCTGTGTTGTTAGCACTTTGCATAGTTCAGCAATGAAGTTCGTGAGATTAATTTATAAAACAGACAACTGGTATTGGGCTTTGAGCAAGGAGCCAAATATAACTGACCTGAACACTGGCTGTGCCATTTGTAACCTCATTATTTACTGTCTATAACCTTTAATTTCTTTATAGTATAAATTGTGGACAACATTAATACTTACTTTGGAGGGTTAGTTGGATCATTAGAGATTAATGAATGTAAAGTACAGAGCATAGTGTCTTTCCCTTAATAGGGACACTAGAAATGGGGTGGTTATGATGATGAGACACCTGCATAGAGCATAGGGTATTAACATACCCAGCTATTCACTTGGCCTCCAGGATGTAGTAGAGAAGGAAAAACAAACAGCAGGCCTTTTTTTTTTTTTTGTTGTTGTTATGCAGAGTCCCATGGCTAAGGCTGCCTAGGCTGCCTAAAGCTTTGGAGGGGTTCTCTTCTCTGAGGATTGCAGTTTACCCAGCTAGGAGACACCTGGAAATGTATCCCCAGAATCCTCCAGACAGGGAAGGCTTTAGATGTTGGTACTGGCTTTGAAATAATACTGGACTGGCTCCTGACCAAGTCATACACAACAACTTTGCTGTTGAGAGGGGATCAACTTTATCTTATCTAGACAAGGGAAATACTAGAATAGTCTTCTGGAAAAAAAAGACTTTTTTCTACTAAAATTATTCTATGGAAGTTCTCACACTTTCTTATTCCATGTTCTATTTTTTAAAAAAATAATCTATACATACTATTCATGCAGTATAAAGAGCAGGTAAAAAGGCAGAAGTGCCCAGTGCTCATGTAGAGTAGAATGACATTTTATTTGGACCTGAGCACAGAGAAATGCAAAACCATTCCCCATGGAACTTATACTTCTTGACAGGGGAATGGAATTAGGAGGAGGAAGGCAAAGATTTTGTGATATTTCTTAAATTTTATTTATTTGTTTATTTATTTATTGTTTGTTTGTTTTGCCAATCCTGGGGCTTGAACTCAGGGCCTGGGCACTGTCTCTGAGCTTCTTTTGCTCAATGCTAATGCTTTATCACTTGAGCCACAATGCCACTTTCGGCTTTTTTCTGAGTAGTTTATTGGAGATAAAAGTCTCATGGACCTTCCTTCCTGGGCTGGCTTCAAACCCTGATCCTCAGATCTCAACCTCCTGAGTAGCTAGAATTACATGCATGAGCCACAGGCCCTGGACTTGTTTCTTAAATTTTAAAAGAAGAAATGTATGCCTCTTGGTAATTGTAAGACACGTGGCATAGGATTTAAAAATGAAGCAGGTTAACTTAGGGCATGGCAGGGGGATGAGGCTGACATAAAGTATGTACTCAGGATGGTTTGAGATGTTCTAAAAGATTCTGTTTGTCATCTGTATTAGAAGAAATTGAGGAGCTCCAGGCAGAATTTCTTAAAGGCACAGAGCATGTGACCTTCCTCTTGTGTTGGCCTTGGCATGTAGTATGCTCTGAATAAAATGTTATTGAAAGGTCAGGGCTTAAGCCTTTGTGGAACGATGCTACCTTAGTTTTAAGCATCTCTCTGGTGGCTTCAGGTTGTTCGTTTACAGGTTTACAAGGAGAGAGGAGGTAGAGGGACAAGGAGGAAGCCTCTCATGTACAAGAGTATCAGCTGTAAAGAGGGCCAGGATCGACTTACACAGAATTGATCCTGAGGTGTGTAATTGTATCAGTGGTTCATGACCTTCTTGGGAAACAAAACCTCCTCCAGATATTTTAACAAAAAAGTTGATTATGAAGGAATGTAAAGGAACGAGGAAACAGGGAGATGTCTGAGTGATGAGCAATAGTAACTCCAGGAAGTCAAGGCTCCTTTGGTAGAGGGTGAACAGAGGTAGGGGCTAAGGGTACCTAGCGTTTGTAGTGTGGAGGATATTCTCTTGAGCTGCTAGTCCTCTGAGGAGAAAGAGCTGAGGCCTTATGGGTGTAGAGCAGCCCTTTCTCCCCAAGTCCTGCTCACCTGGTACTCAGGCCTTTGAGGGTGGGGTGCCATTGGTGGTGCTAGTATTCCTAGGAGGAATGATGAAGTTGAAACTAGAATCAAGCTGCTGGCTGAGTGAAAAAGTGAGTTCCTCCTCCCTTCTCCAGCCTCCTGGCTTACCTGTGGTACATCCCAGTTGGAAAAAGAAAGCATGGCTTGCAGAATGCCATCTCCAGATCAGAGTGGAGTATGATGAGGTAAGGGACACTAAGGAGCTTAAAACCAATGTAGTCATGCACATGAACATTCAGGTTCACCCTGCACAATATATATTTTCTTGCAAAAACTGCTAAGAAAGGACGTAAATAGCTTTTCTCTAAGTCACTCAGAAAATTGGCAGTATCCTAAAAGTGTTTTATCTTCTCCATATTTAATCCAGCTAACACTGACTGAACACCATGTGTGGCACATAGTTTTGTATATGTTGGGAAAACATTTTTCCCCCTAGAAACATCTAAAGTCTCCTGGACAAATTTGACAGATTAAAATCTTACTTATCCTAATAAGGCTGTCGTCTTTGTAATTTTCAGATAAAGAACCTTATAGTGAATGCTAGGAAATTCATGAAGACTCTCAAAAATCGTATTTGACTTGGGAGTCTGAAAACAGGGATGCCCCCTCCCAATTTGTCAGCTATATAAATTTTGTCAGCTATATATAATTTGTCAGCTATAAACGCTGTGCCAGTGTTTATAGTTGTGACTATACAATGTCCATGTAGTTGTTAACCTTGGCAGGACTTGAAGCCACAGACTCATGCACACACACAAGCTCTCTACACCCCTCCCTTTGCATATGTCAATATAAGCTAGCTTTAAACTCCTTACTCCCTTGTTTTGGAGAGCACGGTGTGGATTTTATAAGACCATTCCAATTATAGCTGATAATTGTTGCCATACTCCTTCCTGAAATAAGTAAATACCCTTGCAAGCTCTTTAAACAGACATCTTGTGGAGTTCAAGGTGGCAAAATGTCCCTGGGGTAAAGAGAATTAAGGGTGGATGAATTTTCTTTCAAAAGAAAGTGTGAGGGTAAGTGCTTTGGTAGGCAACTGTACAACTGTATGTGGAGGAGACACCAGTGCAGAGTAAAGTCCTTCCCCGGCTGCTGCAGAGGACTGTGGGAGTGTGCTGTTGTCTGTTGACCTGAGTTAAAGTAATTAGAAGGAAAATACTAATGGTCATAGAGAGTGCCACATAGTTAAATACTTCCCATCATCAGTGAGCAAGGGCTCGGGAAGCAGTGAGCCTCCCTTAGACTCCTGACGCCACCTTATGCATCTGTGAATCTTCAGGGCTAGGTGTAAAGGTGCTGGCTGGCCACATGAAGAGGAATGTGAAGGGAAGCAAGCCTATAGCTTTGGGTTAAGAATGATGGCTAGAAAAGAAAAAGAAAAAGAAAAAAATGATGGCTAGTGTGATTCAGCCTTTTCCTGCTGCCTTCAGTGTAACTTTGGACAGTGAATGTAACCTCTCTAAGCCTAATTGACTCGATTTATTACAACCCTCCTGACACTGTTACAAGGATAAAGGATCTGACACAGGATGCAGCAGCAGCCCAGTGCAATGTTAGCTACCTTTTTCTTTCTGTGCTTTTGTGTGATCAGTTATGCCAACTGGGAGGTGTAGGCAAGCTTGGGGAGTGCCATTGCAATTTCTGCCCTTGGAAGGAGGGAAGAGAGTCCTAGACTGTGTAAGTGTACAAAGCAGTTTCTAAATATGAATGTATTCATTTTTACCAATAGTCATGTATGTCTAATTAGAAAAAAAATCTTATAATTCTAAGAAGTTAGAAGTCTTTGGGATCCAGGTGGAGGAGTGATGGCAGCGTGTACTTGCCAGGGCTGTGGCATGGGCACATGGGGAGAGGACAAATGTGGTGTGTGGGAGGCCTATGAGGAGATCTTCTTGGCCGTGATGATTAGAGACGTGTGTTGAGAAGCTCTGATGAGGATGGAGGAAGTTCTTGACCTGCATTTGAGGATCTCTGTTAGGCATTCAAGAGGTTATAGCACTTTCTTAATCAGATGGGCAGCATGCTACAAAGGGTACTTCCAGGAGATAGGGATGGGAAGAGCTTTTCCTCAGGCAGACATGTCTGTAGTGCCTGCTCAGTTAATCTAATTAAGAGGAACAGAGGATCACAGTAATGAGTTTGGAGAGGAAGAGATGAATCTGAGAGAAACTGGCGAAGAAGTATGGACAAATACAGTGACTATTGTGCATAAAGGATGAAGAGGATGTAGAAAAGAGAAAGCAAGATTTTGAGGTCATGGGCAGGTATGCATTAGTGAGCTGCTAAATTCCCATTATGCATCCCCTAGACTACTGCTGCCACTACTTACTGCAACAAGGTTGTCCTGATTAAAGTATTGTTCTGTGCTAAGCACTCTGCATTCATTCTCTTATTTAATTCCTACTACATGAGCTCTTCATTCATTTTTCCATCTTCCATGTGGCAGGTGCCATGTTAGGTCTTGGAAATAAAATGGGAGCAATGATTTTGCCTTCTCTGGGCTTCTAATCTAGTTGATGAATCCAGACAATGACCACGTACATTAAAAAATAAATCAATTACTGTAGGTTACAGTTACAGTCGTGAAAGAAATGATGGCAAGAGAATTTAACAGGGGCTACCACAGAGAATAGCTAATAGAATGTCCCTACTCTGGAAGAACAATATAGGAAACATTGTGAAAGTTGTGGGAACTGCAGGTCATATCCCTGGAGCAGGAGAACCAGGGGAAAAAATTAGCATAGCTTGTACTTGGACTCCAGGGGACAAAATGTGTCACTAAGTGGTGAGGGAGTTGTTTGGAGGACTTCTTCCCTTCCAGTGAGGTGACCCACAGGCGACTTAATAGAAGGGAGACACACAGGGACACACAGGTAGAGAATGTGGATTGTGGAGAAGGAAATCCAGGAGGTCTGGAGGAAATTGATGGGAGGCTAGCTAAGTATTTGCTCAGCTGAGACAGTGGTAGAAATGGAGATGAAACAGTAGAAGGATTTTGGAGTTATTTTGGCATAGGACAAACAAAATTGCAAAGGTAGAGAATGCAGGATGAGGGGAGGAGAAGGTTATTCTTGAGAAGTAGCCGTTCCTTCATCCTCTCCTTCCTGTTGGACAGTTGAGGAGAACCAGGCTAATGGTGCTTGTTGACCTGTCAAGAGTATTTCTGCAAGCATCTGACAGGGTTGTACTTTGAACCACATGATTTCAATCTGAAACCTAAGCTCTTAACTTTTGTATTAAACAAGTGTTTTAGTTACTATTTGAATGAATTATTTATTTTCTAATTAATTTTTTGTCTATCATACTCTCTCTTGGTTACTTTCACAAATGGTCTCTGATTAATATTTAAATTAAGTAAACACAGGACAAAGCCAGGATTAAAAATGAAATGATTATATATAAATCAAGGGGATTTGAATATAAAGTTAATAAACATAGTCATTGATTGTCTCTGATTATCTTAAAGCACATATATCCTAGGAAATTATGAAGTAAAGACCATTTTTCCTTTTCTTTTTTTCCTTAAACTTGGGCCTCAAGGCTACATCTGTTGACATGCTTTGAAAAAAAATGACAAAGCATAAACTTCTACTTTCTCTTTTGCCTTTCTATTTCTTTCTTCATCCTGTCATTCTCAGAAAGTTGTTGCTGTCTTTCCTGAGCCTTGAGAGGTTCTTGCAGGATCTGAAACATTTTCTGCAAAACCACTCCTGGTTTTTCCCACTCTGCACAGAGACATGGACAAGAAGAATCTTCCTTTTTCTGACTTGTATCTGACAAAGCAAAAAAATCTGTATTTTAGTTATGGGTCATGTAAATACCAGTAGGTAAAATTTCTGATGGGCCTTAGACACAGGCTAGGTAAGCATTCATATTCAATTCCTATTCATCAATGTGAGATATATCAATGTGGGCATATCTTACTTACCTTGCCTACATACAAAGGATCTGTTCCAGTGTACTCTTCCAGAACAAAAAACTGGTTCCAAACCCAGCTTCTCTTGGCTCGCTGATGCATCTGTGACTTGTCTGACAGGAGCTCTTCTAATTTGCCTCGTGGTGTTGTGCTGGAGAGAACAGTGGTCGTAAGGTCCATCAGTCCCCAGAAGTACAAGGACAAGCCAAGTCCAAGCCAGCTCCTTGCATTGCTCATTCTACCAGAAGTCCACATGGGATTGCAGGATTTCAAAAAGTGATGGACAGGAAGATAAACCACAGGAACTTGAGAATTTTTCCAGATTAAAAAAATTAAAAAACCCCACACAGTTTATTGGATACTTGGTGCTTCCCAAATAAGATTCCGATTCAAGTCAATCTGCTTGAAGTTGGCTTCCTGTCAAGTTAAGGACAACACAGTGTGATGATACAAGATTCTTCCTTGTGTACTGGTTGCAAGTTTCCAAAAAATGTTAGTAAATATTCAGCTTTTACTCAGTGAATTAAAGAGTCAACTGGTTATTACTTTCGAAATATTTCAGTCATACATAATATTTAGGTACAAGGAAGACAACATATTTTGCTAAAATCATCCATAAATCTTTGAATTTGGATTTAGTGGGAATAAAATTAATGAATGATGTTGTGGGTTGTACTGTATCATTAATTGGTTTAACATTGGTAGTTTATTTTTCAAAATGTTTATAATCAGGCAGCCTCCTACTGACTTAAGATAGCATTTGCTTCTGAAATTTATAGTTAAAAACTAAATTTTCCATTAGTTCAAGTGCTTTTCTTGGTTTATTAAAAAACTATCAAGCTGGAGGCTGGTAGTTTACAGCCATAATCCTAACTAATTAGGAGGCTCAGGTACAAGGATAGCAGTTCAAAGCTAGCCTGGTCTAGAAAGTCCATGAGATGCTTATTATCCCTCCCCCTCACCACGGAAAAGCTGGAAGTAGAACTATGGCTCAAAGGGTAGAGTGCTGGCTTTCAGCAGAAAAAAAAAAAAAAGAACTGGAGGACAAGGCCCACCCTGAGATCAAGCCCTGGAACTGGCACATACATCACAGAAAAAGTAACAAAATCAAAATCACACTTCTTTTGCTGCCCACAATTATTTTGTGACTGTTCTCCTGTTATTGATAATGTTAGGAATCTTGGGCTCCATTTATAAACAACCATGGATCACTTCTGACTTGAATCATTCTGTGAACTCACAAGTCAAGTTTCACACTCTTATCGCTTCAGCACTGAAGAACTGATAGGGGCTGCTAATGTGACCTTTGTAAGTTGTGAATGGTCAGTTAATTATACCCTTCACCACAGACTTTAGAGTGCTATTAGTCACATGCCACTGTGAGTAAGCTAGAAGCCAACCTAACAAATTTCCTTTCCCAACCTGAAAGAATGTTAACTTCTATGCTAGGGACACCTTTTCATTAGTCAATACTTGTTGGTTTTTCTGAAATCAGATTTAGCTGATGACCTCATTTCTGGGTTATGACCTCATCAACCTTTTCCTCCCTTATGTGGCTGAGTTTAATGAGGTAGCATAGCACTCAAGCCATTCCATCAGAACAACTAAAAAGTCTCAGTGGGCTTAATAACTCTGCCTTTAATTTGAAGAATTGCTATCATGTCTTTGGAAAAATGTGTGTACCTAGGGATGTCAGATCCATGCAACTAGATGATGTTTCTTCTCTGAAAGTGGCTTAAAATGATTGCATTGATGCTAGCTCAAGACCCATGTTCTGCCTGTCATCATCAGAACTCGTGATGGTTTCTTTGCTAATACTATTTAAATGTACAAAAAGACTTTAAAAATACCTTATAATCACTTCATACAATGTCATTTTTTCTGTAGAAATCACTTCAGGGAGAACTGATAAAGACAGAAAAGATGGGAAATTGTAGAAGGTTTTTGAAATATTTTTTTATACTGTAGAAGTTTTGTAGCAGAATCAGAGCCTGCCTCTTTCAAGTTCTAGCTCAAAAGGCAAATTGAGCATTAAGAAAAAGCAAGCCAGGTGCACTTTATGTAAGATGACATATTTGTTACTAACAGTTCCCTCTCTCTTTGGACTACTGGATAGAACCCAGCTCATGTTTCTGTGAAACCTGTCTAAAGGGAAATAGTCTGGAAGAAGGAATCTTAACCTGGAGTTGAATTGATGGAAAAGATTAGTGAGAAACAGATTTTGTGTTTTAGAAGCCTAGGAGATAGACTAAAGTTCAGCACCAAACAAAAGCTATTGCTAGAATATGGATCATGGCAATCCACAAGGGAATATTCTGAACACTGTAAGATTAAGATTTAGTTGGATTTCTGCTTCTCTCTTCTTTACATCTGACTTGCTAATTTCTGTTATCAAAGTTCTGATTTACAGTTCTGTTGGTTGAGTCTTCTACTGACTTCTCATATTTAGATTGCTTATCTGTTGAACAAGGACAGCAATTGTTCTGTCTACATACATCTCATCTTTCTAGGACCATAGTTAAATTCTGATGGGATAATGCATGTGATTTCTTAACAACAGTGGTTTGTTATGATTAAGGTACCATAAATTAGAGTCATGTGTGAAAATAATGGAGGTAAACCTCAATGTATTTCCTAGACACCTTTGGGATCAAAATTCTGGAGTGAGCTATAATGTGTATCTATATTTGTGGTATTATTCAGTAGCAACTTCTAGTTCAGCCCAATTTTCTCATCATATACATTGTTTTTCCATCTGAGGAACTTTAGTGAAGGGTTAGCTTTGAGAAAACTCTAATAGTAGAGAACAATTCTTCTGGGATTACACTTAGGAAAAACAGAATGTGTGTATATCTTATATTTACTGTATTTCCCTTAAGGTCTCAGTTTCTATAAGTACATTTTGCACAGGAATACATATCAGTTGAGATTTTTTTTATGAGGTGAGCTAGCTTTAGCAGCGTGCACTAGGTTTAGATGTACAGATGTACTCTATTTTGTTTCTACTGGCTAAACTTTATGAACATAACAAAATGGATGTTTTGAAGGAGTTTATGTTCTCATATTTTTTTTCCTCTTTCTTTTTGATTTTTGGTGATGGTACTAGAGTTTTTCCTTAGCTTTTTCCCTCATGGTTGGTGCTCTGCCACTTCCAGCTTTTGCTGGTTAATTGAAGATAGGAATCCCCTGCATTTGTCTGCCTGGGCTGGTTTTGAACCATGATCCTCAGATATTAGCTTCCTTAGTAGCTAAGGTTACAGATGTGAGCCACTAGAGCCTGGCTTTCCTATTTCTTCCTTTCTTTCTTTCTTTTCTAAATTTTTTTTATTACTTCCCTGTCTTTGTCTATAAGTCTGATCTGAAGAGTTCAAGAAGAAAAGTATTCACTGGAGCGTTTGGTAGGCTGCTCACTTGCCTCAGCTTTCATTTCCCGCTGTTGCCCATTTGGGCCTCCTAAAAAACTAGTGCAGAGGTCTTGTTTTCTTCCCTTTCACTGAACATACGTAAAAGGGGCTTTGGGGTCTTTAGAACCTGTGAAGCCCCTGGTGATCCTGTCAGAGTTCATGGTCTCTGGATTCACTTAGATTCAGTAACAAAGACTACCATGCCCAGGAACTCTTTTTGTGTTAAAGATCTTGATAGTGACAGTTGATAGGAAGCATGCCATTTCTGCTTCTAGGTGGAATGCATGAAACGTTTAGAAAAAGCCAGGTTATACACTAGTTACTTTTTCTTTTTGCCAATCCTGGGACTTGAGAACTCAGGGCTTGGGAACTGACCCTGAGCTTCTTTTGCTCAAGGCTAGTACCCTACCACTTGAACCACAGTGCCACTTCTGGCATTTTCTGTGTATGTGGTACTGAGGAATTGAACCAGGGCTTCATGCATGCTAGGCAAGCATTCTACCACTAAGCTACCTTCCCAGCCCCCACTAGTTACATTAATTCAATTTATTTGTATACAAATGAAGGAGAAATCAATCATACTACAAATACAACCAACTTGTAACTATTAATGGTATGATTCTCATATTCATGTCTTTTCCTGTAAACAGGAATATGTTATGTATTTGATGGTAATTATTATTGTTCGTATAAGGGAAGAAACTGATACACAAATACTTGTGTATACTGCTTTGGGAGACTACATATGCCACACGATGAATACATTAGTGGAAATTAACTTTTGTGCTAAACAAGTCTTTTAAAAGTTTTTCTCTCCCCAATCCTAAAAGAAAGCAAACAGCTTGGTAATGAACACAGTAGGAAGAAATTAAAGTTATACTTAAAGTGTGTTCTCAGAGAATTGTTTATTTTGTTACTTAAATTCCTTGTGATATTTAAAATGTAAGGGAGGAGGTATGGTTACTGCTTTCTCCTTGAAATGAACTGGCTTTTTATTGTCTTCCTCTGATTTCTTTCCTCATTATTCAGCTTTCTGGAGCTTTTCATACTTAGTGGAAAGTACTACCCAGAAAAGCTCCAATGGTGTCTCCTTCAAAGCAGTCAGTTGACTCAGTGACTCGCCATGTGAACATGGTATGTTTAATGTGCTGATGTGGTCTAATGCCTTACAGAAGTAAATGTAGCATCTTGGGTTAAGGCAGTTACATTTCCTGAGCTATCACTTTTACTTAAAGAAACAGCTTGAAAAATGCACTTAAAAAAAGAAAAGAGAAAGTTTTTTTTTTGAGATCTCAGATATCACAATGAAACATGACAGTGTACCATAAGTTACATCAACATTAAATCAGAATGCAACTCAATGTCACAGCATTATTGTGCCTCTCAGCCAAGGGTCTCTGAGAAATGTGAGTGAATTTATTTTACATAGGAGTTAGTATAGAAGTCCTTTAATATAGATTGCTGAACCCTTACAGAATGACTTTATTACAGGTGATCACAGGTATGGATTGTAGGATAGGGGGGTGCCAATGAGAGTGTAGTAGATGAGTGGAAAAGGGAACAGAAGATGAATACAGCAAGAATACTCTATTTATGTAAGTAATAAAAGAAGAGGGAAGTGTGAATCTTGGGGGGGGAAATAGATGGGATAGGGTCAATTATGGAAAAAGCACAAGAAGCACTAGACAGCTGGACACGTTAAATTGTAACCTGCTTGTACAACCTTTGAAAGTTCAGAAAAAATAACATTCAATTGAAAATAATGAACAGAGAATAACAATGAATACTTAATTTCCATAAAGATCATAGGAGGTGATCATCACTTTTGTTTATTCCCTTCTTTCCCATAACCAAATTAGTTTATGAAAGGGAGTATTATCTTGTAAATGGAACTATGGGGTTAATATGGCGACAAGAGGGGCTATGGGGTGTGTTAATTCAGCTTTAGGAATAGTATCTGGTCTTATGTAAAAGTTGGATGTGGGTATGTGCACAGATGGGTGAGAGGAACTA